TGCATTCGATGATGTCATCTTCATTTGGTCCGTCCATTCATAGTAGAAGTAGTAGGGTTTTTTCGGCCAGACGAAACCACCCCCCCCCCCACACACACACACGACGCTTGCTTGCAGACACCAGCACGAACAGTTCACCAGCCACACTCCACGACAGCAAGACATAGTAGTTACTCCTGACAAGCTTGTTTCGTTCCACAAGATAATGGGAACTCATCATTGAGCGGCACTTTAATTAAACATTGTACCATGCTTTTACGCTGTGTGTACAATATTCTTTTTTTGTACATTCTGCATTGTGTATTGTGTGTGTGCAGCCAGCAAAGGAGCCAGTTCAAACGCGACTGCTTCGGTGAGTGGTGTGAGTGATGTAGTGTCTGTTTAGACCACCTATAGTGTAACTTTGCCATACACACTCCTACTGTCCATGGATGTAGACCACCTATAGTGTAACTTTGCCATACGCACTCCTACTGGCCATGGATGTAGACCACCTATAGTGTAACTTTGCCATACGCACTCCTACTGGCCATGGATGTAGACCACCTATAGTGTAACTTTGCCATACGCACTCCTACTGTCCATGGATGTAGACCACCTATAGTGTAACTTTGCCATACACACTCCTACTGTCCATGGATGTAGACCACCTATAGTGTAACTTTGCCATACGCACTCCTACTGTCCATGGATGTAGACCACCTATAGTGTAACTTTGCCATACGCACTCCTACTGTCCATGGATGTAGACCACCTATAGTGTAACTTTGCCATACGCACTCCTACTGGCCATGGATGTAGACCTGTAGGTATGTGTACTGCATGCAGCACAGGCTCGTACGCCAGTATTTTCTCTTGCTAGCCATACTGAAGATTTGGTCGAAGTGGAAAGTGTCATACTCTGTAAAGGATTTCGTCAGAAAGAGGCGCCTAGACTGGTTGGCGTGCAGTGCATGTGAGCATCATTACATGATGACAAGAGTACATAACTCCAAGAGTGTGCAAATCAAAATTAATAGTGGTCGCAACTCGTTTCAGAGGTGCGTCTCACGATGCATCCAGCTCGGTGCATTTATTCACGCTGCAAGGTTGGCTGTGAGCAGTGCAGTTTTGTTTGCAGTCAGGTGCTTTTAATACATCACGTAAAATGAGGTCTTTCTGAGAACGAGTTCTGGCAGAGATTTCTGTGGAGTTGCCCGTACTTTGCGGAGTTACCTGTACGTATGTATGTACTGTTGGTAATACGAATGACGATAGCATAGTGTTATGAGCTGTGATGGCGTTGTGGCTGTGTGGCTGTGCAGTGCTGCATCTACTGCAGCTGATTATGTAGCTGAAGCAGGCAGTAGTTCTGATTGTGTTGTCGGGTAATTGTTCTCTTGGCTGGTGTTATGCTGACCTGTGCTTGCTGTGTACGTAGACGGACGGCGCAGGGACAAGCCGCTCCAGTACAGCAGCAGCAGCGGCGGCCGCAGGGGTGACATCATTGACAGCTGCACAGCCTGGTGGCAGCAGCAGCAAGTCATTGCTGGCGGCAAGCGCCACTGGTCTGCTGATAGCGAGCGGTAATGCCGGTGTACTGACTGTACCGGAGGTGCAGTCCACGCTAACGTTCAAGGTAGCCTGTCTCAAAGGCGCTGATCTGGTCTTTGAGGCGAAGAACACTCCTGGAAGTCAAGGTATGTATGCTCTTGATGAAAGAGCACATGTGCTACACACTTGCAGAGCGTTAAGTTGTAGCTACCTACTTGCTGTGGCCGTGGGTCGTCTGGTGGATATTGTGAATATTGTGTCGACTTTCTGTCCAGCGACTGTTACTCGCTTCTGAGCTAGCGTCAGCAGCAGAGCCATTGCAATCTTTGTTTGTTTGCTTTTATCTGCCGTTGCACTATTGTCGGACAGATTTAAAATTTGTGATCCAGTTAGCCAGATTTGGAAAAGAATACAATCATGTGTCAGAGATTGAAATGAAAAGAGGGACCCTTGGCAACAAGTGAATTCACGGCGGATTCTTGGCTGACTATTGAAAGTCGTTTTGCTCTGCAGATTATGGCAGTCCGATTGGTAACCTAGGACTGTGTGTCTGTGTGTGTCTGTCTCTGTGTGCGTGTGTGTCTGTGTGTGTGTGTGTCTGTCTGTGTGTGCGTGTGTACGTTCTCAACTTCTCTGCTGTGTATGTTCAGCAAACACGGTGGTCTGCTCTCAGGAAGGCCAGCAACTTTGGAGTATCGGCACTTACAGTAGAATCCTTCTCCTGACTGCTTCGAGGTAAGTGCACTTATAATGCTCAACATGTGTAGCAGCATTGCTTTTCAGTGAGAAGGATGTGCGCGACTAAACCGGGATTCACAGAAGCTTTTTTCGGCGATGCGATGCGCGATGTGACGGCCGCGAAACCGGGACATCCCCAAATTGCAACCATCGCACAGCTCATGCAACTGCCGCAACTGGCCCATTGCAGAAGTTGAGCTTGGCTAACTTTTGCGATGGGATTCGATCTGCGATATTCCAGGCAGTTTTCTTGAGGATTTCTTCTTTGAGCTCTAAAGTGAGGAGTTGTCATGGCAGTTGAAATGCCTGGGTGCAACTTGAGGATGCGGGTGTACATTGTATAACGATTCCCTCCAAAATTTCGTTCTCTCCCGACGCAGCACGTACCAGTGTGTCATGCAAAACTGCTTTTAAACTGCTTTTAGTAGCCTTTTACTGTATTTCTTCTCCGCTCGGGACATATCTGCTATTGAATTATCATTATATTTTCACTGTGGAAAGCTTCTCGATGATTGTCTCTGGATAGTTGTCGTTTCGCAGCAGTTGCTTGGTCATACCGAGAGTACATAACACTGGTTATGTACCCTTGGTCATACCGATACTTCTGTAAAAGCCATTATTCTAACGAGGCGCATAATTAAAATTGGCTAGTTTACGTGTACCAAAGTTAACGATTCTCACTCATTCTCAACGCTCAACAGGACAGTATATGTATCGATTTCTGTATAACGATTTCTATTTTAACGACAGATTTCTCCTCGTTAACTCGTTAGATTTAGCACTTCGTTATATATATATATATGGCTTTTACAGTACATAGTTTTTGAAGTCTCAGTACAGGATCTGAGAGGGGAATGAAATAAAAAAAGAAAGAAACACGACACATGAAGAGGACACCGGTAATGGAAGTAACGCAAACACAAATGAAGGAACGGCTAGCGTTATGCACCAGCTGCTGCGACGCTTTAGGTGAAACAAAGCAATGAGGAGATGCACACTATTTCACATTAGGAAATTACAGGGAAAGGATAAAATATGGAATGTGCGCGGCCATTTCAGCACACGCGGCTGCTAAGGAACTGTACTGGGAGCCGAAACAAAGCGGGGGGACAATCTGTCCCTCAAAGCCTTTGCTTGTGAGGTGTAATTGTTACTGGACATCTTGCTGATGGGTGCCACACTCCATCTTCCAAGTTCTCTCACCAAGCACCAGATACAGTGTTGCCTACTCCACTTCAAGGCACTTGCAGGTAGTTGTGCAGAACAACGCAGCTGTTCACAACCACATGTTTTCCGGCTTTGCATTTATTGGTTGCCGAAATATACGCCACCTTGCAACCAAAGTACCAAAGGCATTTTCCATAATCCTCCTGCTTCTAGGGAGGTGGTTGTTGAAAATCCTCTGCAACAAGGTGAGGCCTCTGCCAGACTGATCTGGAGCTGGCACGCCCAGACTCGCATTTTCCAACACCTTGCCAAACTCACTGTTGCTTAGTACACCACCGTCACGATTGTACCCACTTTCGTCAACATCCACAGCCAGGAATCGATACTTGGCATCTGCAACTGCAAGTAGTACGATTGAATTAGCGTTCTTGTAATTGAAAAACTCACTGCCCGAGTTGTTGGGTGCCTGGATCACCACGTGTTTGCCATCGATGGCACCCACGCAGTGTGGAAAATGCCAATATGTCAAGAAGTCACAAGACACAGCTTGCCAGTACGCAGGTCTTGATGGACACTTCAGATACTCCTCCATTAATCCAGACCATATAGCGTTGCAGACTTCCACCACCAGCACATGTGGACGGTGGAATGTCCCATCCATCTGGAACGCTGTGGCCAGCTCCTGCATGGGCTGGCCGCTTGCCAAATATTTCAACGTTAACACCAACTTGCAAGCGTGGGGAATCCGTGCTTGTGATCGGGCTGCGCGTCGCGATTGTTTCGGCAACAGTGTGCTTTTATCTTTGCAAGGAGTTTGTCGAGCATGGACAGCGGCATTCGAACATACTTGAAGTGAAGCTCCGAATCAGCCCCCACCTCATCTCCAAGTAATCATGGAATGCTCCATGGTGCTGTCTCTCTTGCACGCTAGCACGGACATATCCACCGTCTAGCTAGTGGTCGCCATTGACGACGGCAAATGACTACTGTAGCCAGGACGTTATATTATCAAACTGATTGGGAGAGCATGCGTCATATGGGAGGGGGGGGGGGGGTTAGTTCCAGACGATAGTGGTGTACTCATCAGCACAAAAAGGTGCACGTGTCAGCGATACAATGCAGTGTGTACAACAAAGAGCTACACGCGCCACCACAAGTACAGCACTACCACCAAGAGCACATGAAAACCAGAGTGTGCAGCTCGGATGGGTTACTGTTCGCGTACACTCTCCGCCAGCGATGTATACGTGGACCAAATTCCGCTGCCACCAGTGTTGGCTCCCGGCTAGACGCAGTCCCGTGACACTCGCACAACACATACATAACAGGGGTTTTATAGTATTGAATAATAATTATGGAAGTAGTATTCAGACTAGGGGTGAAACGAGTATATCGAATACTCTAGCGCTTGCTCGAAAATTTGAAACGAGCGAGTACTCGTTTCGCAAAATACTCGAAGTATCCTATGTCCAGTGTACAGTATGCATGTACATCAAGCATTTCTGTTACTCTGACTGGTACTGATAGCCCGTGCAAGCGCGAAATTATTGCTTTTCCCTACTTACCAGCCATAGCCAGTAGACTAGTTCAGACTATTCCCTGCACTAGGCTGCATGCAAGACTACAGGTGTATCGGGTGTACTACGTTCGGTGTTGCAAGAGTATGTGCAGTGCATTGTTTTATGTTGTCAGTAAAATACTCGTACTCGCTCGAATACTCGCTCGTTTTTTCAAGGAGTACTCGAGTCCCCAATTTCGGCACTCGTTTCACCCCTAATTCAGACAAGAGAGTAGACAAGAGTGAGAAGAGTAGAGACTAGAACGAAGACTAGAGAACCACTGGAGCATGCACTCTTCAGACCTCGCTTATTCGGTATTCTTTTATCTGGATCCCTTGCCATCCGGAAGAAAATCGCTGGTCACCGATTCACAGCATATGTCATGCATACATAATTATAGTATGTGTGTTCGATTATCCGGTTCCCTCGCTTTTCCGGATATTTTTGTGGAAAACGAATGCGTGCGGTTAAACGAGGTCTGGCTGTAGTTGATGGGATCTCATTGCTATGGTGACGGAGCGGGAAATACGGATAGTGAGTATTGTACTGTCTTAGGGCGCGTTTGGTTGGTACGGACTAGAACAGGATTCACCAGAACAGCGCGTTTGGTTGGGACTGCACCTGTTCTGGGTCGGCCAGAACATGTTCTGCTTGCTCCGGCCTCGAGGTCGGAGCAGACCGAGCAGTTTCACTTTTTCACAGTGAAACCTGGCGGGAACATCGATTTTGGTCCCAAATGATCACGTGCATACGATTTTGGGTTGGACTCGTTGCACCGTACAAAGTGACCATGGTGACCCATACACATTTTAAAGAATGCACCAAGTTTGGCACATTTTCCCACAAAAATGTGCTCTGTTTCTGGAGTAGCGTTTGGTTGGCATGAGGCTGCTCCATGTGCACCAGCTGTTCGATCCTGTTCTAGATCGTACCAACCAAACGCACCCTTAGTCTAAACACACCTATTACACTGTCACGGCGAAATTCCGCGATTACATCATTTTAGTGATGTGGTGCGTACAAGCAGGATTCAAGCAGATCTCTTTCTGCACAACTGCAACTCAGCTGTCCGCACTACGCCACTTCCAGTCTCAGATCTGCACCAAATATGATGTAATCACGGAAATCCGCCATGTCAGACACCCATAGTAGAAAAGGCCCCAAGCTGCACACTCTGGGTTTCATGTACTCTTGCTACCACAAGTATTATGCAAGCAGCAGCTAAACAGGAAGACTCTTTCTTCAATGCTGAGCTGATCCTTCATGGTTGAAACAACCACTTACTGAAAAAGACCAGCACAAATTTGAAACTCAAACCTGCTTAAGAGCTGAGCGAACAAACACTCACGACCACCATTATGTGTGTGTGTGTGTGTGTGTGTGTGTGTGTGTGTGTGTGTGTGTGTGTGTGTGTGTGTGTGCGTGTGCGCGCGCGTGTGTGCATGTGCTGGCATGTGCGTGTTTTCTCTGCAGGCATGTAGTTGGCATAGCAACGGAAGACCGGTGCTTGTCTGTTCTCTCAATACACGGTCGACGGTAAGCGTTGCGTCTCTGCTCTCAGAACTATAGTCCACTGTAGGACGGTTTCAGATAGGACCAAACACAACGCTTATCTCTACACATGCAATCTCTCAATGCCTGCAGCCATTCGCTGTTTGGAATGTGTGGCAGTCTCAGCACATGCACAACACAACTACATGTATACATATATACACTGCAGATGGTGACCGCGGTGAAAAGTGACAGTACACGTCTGCTGTAGTGGAATGAGCATGCTACAGTGAAACCTGTCTAAGACGACCGCTCAAGGGACCTTCAAAACGTGATCTCCGTTACCAGGTGGTCTCCATATCCAGGGTTATTTGACTGGAAAGAGCATCCATTGGTACATGGTCCTGGTTGCAGTGGTCTTCTAGGACAGGTGATTGCTTTATCCGAGTGGTCACCTTTACAGGTTGTACTGTACTTTATTTCTAGTACTTGCATACTGATGATTGGGTGGGACTGGAATGTCCAGTACGAATTTGAGTTGGCGATACAGAAACCAATTTTATTGTACCAGTACAAACCTAGGACCAGAAGTCCGAGTACCGTACGAATAAGATGATACTCACTGCCATGAAGCGCCGATCGAGATTTATTCTGAACACTGCCCTCCAGTGCCAGACTTGCTGCAATGATGTCTGCCTGTTGGTGTGTGTGTGTGTGTGTGTGTGTGTGTGTGTGTGTGTGTGTGTGTTGTGTGTGTGTGTGTGTTGTGTGTGTGTGTGTGTGTGTGTGTGTGTTGTGTGTTGTGTGTTGTGTGTGTGTGTGTGTGTGTCCGTCTGCCTACCCCGTACAGACTGCAAGCACCAATGTGTCTAGCTGGTGCTGCACACTTGATGGCTGCCCGTGATCATCACATAGCCGTTGTCACCACCACTGGTAAAGTGTGTGTCTGGTAAGCACAACTGCACAAGTACAGTGAAACCTGTCTAAGACGACCACTCAAGGGACCTTCGAAACCTGGTCTCTGTTACCAGGTGGTCTCCGTATCCAGGGTCATTTGGCTGGAAATAGCATTCCTTGGTGCTGGTTTCAGTGGTCTTCTAGGACAGGTGGTCGCCTTATCCGAGTGATCTCCACTTGACAGGTTTTACTGTACAAGTACAAGTAGGCCTTCATATCCTGTGTGAATGCCAGAATGCTTGCAAGAGAACACTGGCAGGTGTTTGCATTACACGTAGTCTTAGGTTTTAGTCTTAGGTTCTCTAACTTGACATGCATTGTCGTCTTTGAAACTGAGTGTCTGTCTAACCCTGGTGTGTGAGTTGGTGTTCTGGATTCTGCTGGCTCAAAGCCACTTCTTTCATTCATGTCCAGAGCAAAGGGCTTGCTGCCTGCTTTTTGTGGTGATTTTAAAATGATGGTGTGTGTTGCTGCTGCTGCTGCTGCTATTGTTGCCGCTGTATCCTGTAGGGACTGTCGTTCACTTCGGATAGTGGTTCGATCAGACTCTGTCATCAGCCTGTTCAACAATGGTAAGTTGAAAAACAGTTACCCCGTAAGGGCCGTAACCCATTTTTCCATTTTCAAAATAACTGTCTTGCAATGCGAAATGCAACATACGGGGCGAACGCCTGACTTTACCCCAGACAAATGTGCCTTCATGAACCCTCTAGTACTGACTATCAACTGCATTTTTGTTGAATGGCATGAAAAAAAATCGGAAAATGAGTGGGGAGGGGGCACTTTTTCACAGGGGGCGCACAAACAGAGTAGGCGCGGGGGAGGGGGGCACTTTTTCACAGGGGGCGCACAAACAGAGTAGGCGCGGGGGGGGGGGGCTGTGCACCCCTACCCCTACCCCCACCCCCTTTAGCTAGAACCCTGAGGATGAATGCTGGAATACTGTCGCTGCCCTCAGGTTTACGAGCATCGAGTCTCACAAGGAACGTAGTAGTTAGTAGTAGTTAGTAGTAGTTCTTATTATTAATTTTTTACTAGGGGAGTCCCCACAGCCTACTGCCTTTTACTAGGGGTGTCCCCACAGCCTACTGCCTTTTACTAGGGGAGTCCCAACAGGCTACTGCCTTTTACTAGGGGAGTCCCAACAGGCTACTGCCTTTTACTAGGGGAGTCCCAACAGCCTACTGCCTTTTACTAGGGGAGTCCCAACAGCCTACTGCCTTTTACTAGGGGAGTCCCAACAGCCTACTGCCTTTTTACTAGGGGAGTCCCAACAGCCTACTGCCTTTTACTAGGGGAGTCCCAACAGCCTACTGCCTTTTACTAGGGGAGTCCCAACAGGCTACTGCCTTTTTACTAGGGGAGTCCCAACAGCCTACTGCCTTTTACTAGGGGAGTCCCAACAGCCTACTGCCTTTTACTAGGGGAGTCCCAACAGGCTACTGCCTTTTTACTAGGGGAGTCCCAACAGCCTACTGCCTTTTTACTAGGGGAGTCCCAACAGCCTACTGCCTTTTTACTAGGGGAGTCCCAACAGGCTACTGCCTTTTTACTAGGGGAGTCCCAACAGCCTACTGCCTTTTACTAGGGGAGTCCCAACAGGCTACTGCCTTTTTACTAGGGGAGTCCCAACAGCCTACTGCCTTTTACTAGGGGAGTCCCAACAGCCTACTGCCTTTTTACTAGGGGAGTCCCAACAGCCTACTGCCTTTTTACTAGGGGAGTCCCAACAGCCTACTGCCTTTTTACTAGGGGAGTCCCAACAGCCTACTGCCTTTTACTAGGGGAGTCCCAACAGCCTACTGCCTTTTACTAGGGGAGTCCCAACAGGCTACTGCCTTTTTACTAGGGGAGTCCCAACAGCCTACTGCCTTTTACTAGGGGAGTCCCAACAGCCTACTGCCTTTTACTAGGGGAGTCCCAACAGGCTACTGCCTTTTTACTAGGGGAGTCCCAACAGCCTACTGCCTTTTTACTAGGGGAGTCCCAACAGCCTACTGCCTTTTACTAGGGGAGTCCCAACAGGCTACTGCCTTTTTACTAGGGGAGTCCCAACAGCCTACTGCCTTTTACTAGGGGAGTCCCAACAGCCTACTGCCTTTTACTAGGGGAGTCCCAACAGGCTACTGCCTTTTTACTAGGGGAGTCCCAACAGCCTACTGCCTTTTACTAGGGGAGTCCCAACAGCCTACTGCCTTTTTACTAGGGGAGTCCCAACAGCCTACTGCCTTTTTACTAGGGGAGTCCCAACAGCCTACTGCCTTTTTACTAGGGGAGTCCCAACAGCCTACTGCCTTTTTACTAGGGGAGTCCCAACAGCCTACTGCCTTTTACTAGGGGAGTCCCAACAGCCTACTGCCTTTTTACTAGGGGAGTCCCAACAGCCTACTGCCTTTTTACTAGGGGAGTCCCAACAGCCTACTGCCTTTTTACTAGGGGAGTCCCAACAGCCTACTGCCTTTTTACTAGGGGAGTCCCAACAGCCTACTGCCTTTTACTAGGGGAGTCCCAACAGCCTACTGCCTTTTACTAGGGGAGTCCCAACAGGCTACTGCCTTTTTACTAGGGGAGTCCCAACAGCCTACTGCCTTTTACTAGGGGAGTCCCAACAGCCTACTGCCTTTTACTAGGGGAGTCCCAACAGGCTACTGCCTTTTTACTAGGGGAGTCCCAACAGCCTACTGCCTTTTTACTAGGGGAGTCCCAACAGCCTACTGCCTTTTACTAGGGGAGTCCCAACAGGCTACTGCCTTTTTACTAGGGGAGTCCCAACAGCCTACTGCCTTTTACTAGGGGAGTCCCAACAGCCTACTGCCTTTTACTAGGGGAGTCCCAACAGGCTACTGCCTTTTTACTAGGGGAGTCCCAACAGCCTACTGCCTTTTACTAGGGGAGTCCCAACAGCCTACTGCCTTTTTACTAGGGGAGTCCCAACAGCCTACTGCCTTTTTACTAGGGGAGTCCCAACAGCCTACTGCCTTTTTACTAGGGGAGTCCCAACAGCCTACTGCCTTTTTACTAGGGGAGTCCCAACAGCCTACTGCCTTTTACTAGGGGAGTCCCAACAGCCTACTGCCTTTTTACTAGGGGAGTCCCAACAGCCTACTGCCTTTTACTAGGGGAGTCCCAACAGCCTACTGCCTTTTTACTAGGGGAGTCCCAACAGCCTACTGCCTTTTTACTAGGGGAGTCCCAACAGCCTACTGCCTTTTTACTAGGGGAGTCCCAACAGCCTACTGCCTTTTTACTAGGGGAGTCCCAACAGGCTACTGCCTTTTTACTAGGGGAGTCCCAACAGCCTACTGCCTTTTTACTAGGGGAGTCCCAACAGCCTACTGCCTTTTTACTGGGAAGTGAGAACCCTAGGTGAAGTTTAACCATGTTTATGAACAGAGCAAGAGAGTGGGCCTGTCGACAGTCAGCTGGAAGAGAGTTCCATCTGCCTGCCGCCAGAAAAGAAATAGACCGCATGCCATACTGCGTATAAACAAGTGGGAGAACTAAGGCTCCTTATGCCTTGCCCCGGGTGCATGCCTGGTGACCAGGTGCAGTTGCCCGAAGCTGGTACGAAGACTGAAGAAGAGGACTAGCAAGATGCTGGGCCAAGCAGCGGTACAAAAAAACATAGAGCTTGCGGCTAATACGCTGTTCCAAAGAATAGAGGTGGTATAAGCGAAGAACTAGTTCAGTGGGCGTGGTACGATCGAGTCCAAACACTCTCTTCATTGCTATGTGACTAACGGTCACAATTCTATTGTACAGAGGTGTGCTTAAACAATGTAGGTAAGCATTACTGGCATAGTCTAGAGTGGACTGAATAATAGACAAGTAGAATGTTCGCTTTGCATCATTTGTTAAATTTCTACGGCCATGTCAGAAAGCAGTAACTTTAGCAAACACTGAGTTACACAATTTCTGAACCTGTGGCTGGAAGGTGAGATGCTCATCCATCACTAAACCAAGGTATTTGGCAGTGCTCGTAGGGGTAAGAGCCTTTCCTTTACAGGCCAAGGGTCGTGGCAACTGCACTGCTGGCAGGCGTGACCGCTGCAGAATGAGAAACTGGGTCTTTTCGGGGTTCATGATGAGCCCCATCCGATCTAAATGGACCTCCGGGGCAGTAAGATCGTCCTGGAGGTCCTGTAACATAGCAGCAAGGTCCGTGAAGACCTCCTCAATGCTAGTGGCCTGGAATTCCCGCAGAGGATCCTGTGGTGACGGTCCACACGGTAGGGATTGCTGCACAGGTCTGTTTGGATCAGAGACTACTCCACTGAACTGCTCGCTTAGTTCTGCTACGCTGACAGAGGGCGGAGTGGAAGTCGTCTTGGTCTGGCCGCTGAGCTGGTTGGTTGTTTTCCAAGTAAGGCGTGCATTTGCCTGACTTCGTGCGAGGAGATTCTGGTAGTACTCGGCCCGAAAGTGACGCAACGCTCGCTTAGCCTTAGCGCATGCTGCTGTAAATGCAGTTTGCAGATCCGTGTCAGTCGGTGAGGCTCGCCAGCGACGATGTGCTGCCTTTCGAAACCTGCAGACCTGCATGGTTAAATCTCGACATTGCGGTTTTTGCACCAGGTAACGATTGCTTCAGAGCAGTGGCCTGGATCTATGCCACCCACGTAAAGTGCTGAACGCTTGATGTGCTTAGCACCACAGAGCTCAGACTTCTCGGGCCATGTAAGGCGATTGCTGCAATTCTCCCGCAGTGCTTTTCTAAGTTTTGGCCGGAAGAGCAGCAAGGTTGATCAATTCCTGATACCCGATCAGGGCCAGGTCAATGTTCTCGTCCAGGGACATACTGAGAGTCAGCCAGGGACAACAAGCATAGTGGGAGTGCTGGAATTGAAAGAAAAAAGGGCCCGCAAGAGGCTGGTCTGCGGAGCAATGAAAACGTCAACCACCCCCTGCCGTACACTTTCGCTTCGTGATCTTTATAATAATCACTGGTCCCTTGCTGAACATGTAATAGTTACGTAGGAAACAGTATAATGATTGTGTGTGTGTGTGTGTGTGTGTGTGTGTGCGCGTGCACGTGCGTGTGTGTGCGTGCATGTGTGTGTGTGTGCGTGTGTATGCATGTCCGTGTGGGTGTGCATGCACGTGTGTATATACATGGTGTGTGTGTGACATACAGATAGTGATCAGCTGACAGGGTTGGACATAAGTAGCAGTGGTCATCCACTGGTGACCGTCAACGCAAGTCGTACCTTCATGTACACAGCTGATATGGAGGCATGGTGAGTTGGTAGGGGTTCTGCCCTGAAATAGATATTAGATGTACCAATCAACTCCCTCAACCTTGAACATACAATGTATTGTCGAGTAGGACGTATGTTTTGACGGTGCTGAAGGGTCTGGATGGGGATTCCGGATGTGGCTTGACTAGCGGCTTCTTCAACACAACAGAGTTTGCCACAGGATGTGGATGCAAGTCCTCGAGTACAAGTGGCTTTTCTGGATGTACATCATGTACATGTTATGTATTGAAGACACACACCAAACTGTCTATCTGTGTGCCTGCTAAATCTTGACTGTAAGCATCCTGTAATGTAACAGGTTGTGGAGCTATGGCTGGAGAATGTAGAACTACTAGAAGTCTCTACACTGCTCTGTGTGTTAGTGGAGCTTGCTGTGTCCAGGACACAGTGCTTGCCTGAGGGTTAGCATGGCTGTACGTACTCCGGCCTTGGTGAAGTGCTAGTACAATGTACCGCGCTGCTAGCTTGTTCTCATTGTTTGCTTTTATACTGTGCTTGTGTGCATGGTCTGTAGGTTATTACTGAGCGATCACGAGGACCCAATCAACCGACTGAGTAGCTATGCTGTGCGCAAGTCATTCAGCACTGGTGGTGGCAGCAGCAGCAGCGGCACAGCAGTAGCAGCGGGTTCATCGACGGACGCCGTGGCGAGTAGTGTGAAAGGTGTCGGTGACCTGCGGCCTCTGGCACGATTGCAGGGCCTGGTGTGTGCTGATGGACACAGGTAAATAACTACTGTCTGACTATTGACTAACTGTGCTGACTGCTTCTTATACTGCTCATAATTATTACCTGCAATACCTGTACTCCATGCTATGCTGTGCTGCAGTGGTGCAGGGGCGTCGGAAGGAGTTTGACATTGGTGCGGCGAAAGTGTGAGAGGGGGTCCGGGGGTTGTCCCCCGGGAAAAAATTTGAAAATTGGGCCTAAAAGGCCATATTTTAACGCTACAGAATAATATGAGAAATAAGAATATGCATGCTGATGATACACCGCATTGTCGATGTAAAACATGGTACCTGTACAAGAGTCGACAAGCCAACAACATGGTTGAAATGTTTAAAAATAATAATAATAAAAACTTCGAAAATTATTGCCGGTGCGGCTTTGGCCGCACCTGCCGCACCGGTTCCGACGCCCCTGTGGTGTCAAGTGAAATACAGGCATACATGTACATGTATGAGCTCATGAATGTGTTAGCTCTAGGTGTAGTGTAGGCCCAGCACTACCTACGCTGCTGATATATTCATGAGCTCACTCTCCATAATTGTACCAGCAGCACCGGAGATACGTATGGCATATGCTGCTCGTGGCTGCAATGCACGGTCTGGATATTGTCCGGGTATTTGTTGTATGGTGTAAGCCTGTAAGTGCGTATGTATGTGTGACTGCTTGTGTGTATGTATGTACGTGCATGCGTGTGTATGTGCGTGCGTGTGTGTGTGTGTGTGTGTGTGTGTGTGTGTGTGTGTGTGTGTGTGTGTGTATGTGTGTTTGCGTGTATGTGTGTGCGTGTGTGTATGCGTATTATAGGGAGGCAGCCATTCGTGCTGGTAGTTTGTTGCACCAGGACGGAGCTCAGACGCGTCTCGCCAATCAAGCTTTCTTGGAGGTAAGCTGGCTGGGCTGATTAGCCGTACAGATTGATATGTACATGACTGTACGTGTAGTCACGTGACTGCACTGGGAAGTACACACTCGATCTTGGTATGAGCTCCGCAGCGACCTTGTCGCAATTGCGTGTCCTACATTGGGTGAATGCTATTCGCCATGCAGTTTGAATTGTAGCAAATGACAAAGACTGTCATGGTTTCTTACTGAGGTCATTGCACTAGTAGTGAGAGGTGGGTGTTTGATGGGAGGGGTGGGTGTCATCGTGGCTAGAGACGGCTGAACCCCGGTTGGTGCATCCTTTAGCAAACGCCATTGTCCCCCACTTACGCTCCCTTTTGATAACAGTTATAGGTACATGTATGTGTTGTTTTTCTGACTTTGCTTGTTGATAAGCGACCACCCCGCGCTGCAAGCAAAAGCGGTCGTTAAAGCCAGGTGGTCTTTGGAACCAGGTCCCATACATTCGGGACATATCGGATTGTGTACATGCATGTGCATGATTATACTTCCGTGTACTCATATTGACAGGTGTGGAGCATAGAATACTTTCTAAAGCACACCTCACTCAAGTGCATGCAGCGCATCCTGCACTGTCCCTTGCCACTTCTGTTGACTGCATGCACATGAATCAGAGCGCACTTCAACCCTGTTGCTGTCAAACATGACAGCCAAGATGGCACTTTTGGTTAGTTTTGGTCCTGTGTGCACTTAGTACACTAAAAGTCGGTCGCTGGTCGAGCAAGGCAGGTGGTCAAGGCAGGTGGTCGCTGTATCCAGTGCAGTTTCTGTGTAGAACTGTCCGTGCATGGAAAAACGGTCGTTAAAAAGCAGGTGGTCGCTAAACACAAAGGTCGCTTACACCAGGTTTTACTGTAATTGTTCCTCTTCTGTGTACATGTATTCCTTTACTCCAGAATCAAGTAGCAGGTGCACTGGCGTTGGAATCTCACATTGAATATCGTGTATGGCTGACGGCCTATGCCAGATATCTCACACAAGAAGGTAGTGTTGCTGTTTGTGTGTGTGCGTGTGTGCGTGCGTGCGCGCGCGTGTGGGGTGGGGCGCGGGGGCGGACGCGGGCGGGTAGGTGTGGGGTGGGGCGCGGGCGCGGGTGGGGGTGGGTGTGGGTGTGTGTGTGTTTGTACCTTTCTGTGTGTGTGTGTGTGTGTGTGTGTGTGTTTGTGTGTGTTTGTATCTTTCTGTCTGTGTGTCTGCCTGTGTCCTCTGTACTCGCACATGCATGAGTGCATGAGTGCATGAGTGCATGAGTGCATGAGTGCATGTGTATGTGTTTAGTATTGTTTAGTACTGTTCACACATCTGTGGGGTAATTGTAGACTAAATTGAGTAAATTCTATATTAAAATTTACTGCAATGAACATTGTGGGTGGAGGGGTGGATTTCTGCCTTATTTTGTGTGAAGTTAAGGTTATTTCAAATGGTGAACGGTACTATTCTCTGAGCCTTATGAAGGCGAAACAGCTGTCAGGAGGAATTTCAGTATCTACCTGCAACCCTTCCTTGGTTGGTGTGTGTAATGGCTACTGAGGTAGCAGTGAGTCGGCTGTGAGAGCGCATGGAGGAGAGGAGAGGAAGAGTTCTTTACATTGAAGTTAAGGTTCTCTGACCTTTTGAAAAGATGGTAGTTAAGCTGTGTTGGACTGAGACAAGTTCAAAAAACTGATGACTTGACCTCGGCATGAACAGGAGAGCGCGTTACGGTGCTCTTGCTTCTGCGGGGCATACATTGTACCGTATCAATTTTTGCAACCTTTTGGGGTTTTATTCACTTCTCTGGTTTTCCATCCGTTGCCCAGGAATGGAGGCCACTCTGAAAGACCTGTGCAACTCAATGATGAAAGGTCTGCACAATGCCTCCGCGCCGTATGAACAGCTGTTCGTTCTGGTGAGTAGAACTAGAACCTTCCCTTTTCAACCGCTCTCTGGTATTGATTTCCACGTGGCCACATGCCGTGCACTTGGTGTTCATGTCTGATTGTCATATGGTGGAGCATCCTTTAACGGGCACCTTGATCATCGTCCATTAGTGGGAAACTTTTGTGCGAATAGGACGAAGCTTACCCTTAGCCTTTTCCGCTGCTGAAGTCCTTTGAAACAATAATACTTAGAAGTCCTTTGAAACAATAATACTTAGAAGGACGCACTTTAGGCTCGGGTTCGTGTATGACATTCTAGTCTTATTTGTCGAGTTTCTCCTAGCCTTAGCCCCCTCTCTCTCCTGCACCAGTTTGTGCTGATGTTAATTAGCAGCAACAGTCACTCTCTAGTCAAGTCTAAAAGGTATGATTCTTTCAATCACGGTGTTTACAGGGCATCTCGAAGAAGTCTCTCATCAAGGAGATCTTGGTTATCATGGGTAAGAAACTGTCCTTGCCTCTTCTATTCTGCACATACGTTCACAGTGCTGTACGTACATCGGGTATGCACTAGAATAAGGACAACTTGACAAATGCTGCGGCTACAGTTGTGGCAAGTGAAATCCGACACTTGCCATAGGGCACAGCGCCACAAATGGACATCAGTGATGTAATGCACTGCACCTAATTTGTACTATAGAGCCGTATACATCCCAAACTGATCGAAAGGTCACAGCGTAGATGCACACAGTTCACAAATATGGTACACATAAGGAGTATTGGTATCCAATCCCCATTCATTTTTGCCAGCACCTTTTTAACCTTGACTGTGATGAGTACGAGTTTTGTTATCAGACAGATAAAGTTGTATGTAACACATGTACTGTACGTATGCAGGGCTGCAGACTGCATGGTGCAGTCCCTTATGCCAAGTGTTGGATTTCACTTGCCACAACTGTACTTGTACTGCAAACAGTTTCATGCGAGAAGCAATCGTGTGGCAGCGAATAGCTTTTTGCATGAAACTTGTTACTTTAGACTAACTGGAACATTCGTCAGGTCCTTATTCATACGGAAAACGCTCTAGGCATTGGGCACTCTGCGGAGATCCTTATTAGGACTTACAGGTATAGCTGTGCATGTACCTGCTTCCAATCCGGTTGTGCCAGGTATACATGCACCCGGCCCAGCTGGATTCAGATCCAAGAGCAGACACTGGCACCCCCCCCCCCCCCCCCCCCCTCTTTCTCTCATTGCATTTGTCTTTCCAATCCAAGTCCTCATGCACACTGAGAGAACCCAAGCCTCAAGAATCCCTACTCAAGATACACACACCACTTCACCACAATCTTTTCTTGCCAAGTGCAATATTACAAATGCCACACACACTGTTGTCGTCATGCAAGAATAATCATATCCAGTTCCAAGAACACAAGTTTTGGTTTCCCTTTGATGTTGGTGTGTGCGTGTGTTGTGCATGTAACAGCTACAAATATCTCCCTGCAGCGTTGTGTTGCGCAGCTCCAAGAGCAGCTCGAGGCACTGCCATCGCACCGGAACACTGCCGCTGCTGCTGTTGTAGGCCCGCAGCGCCTGTAATAGATGCAAGATTACTCCTCTGCTGCTGAAATGTAGGTGGATGGATTAGATACAAGATCAATCCTCTACTGCTGAAATGTAGGTGCATGATTACTAGATCCTTTGCGTGTGCAATCATAAAAAAGATCGTTTTTGCTCTGTGTAATATATGCTGGCTGCTGTACATAACTTCCGAATACCTAGTGTGCCAGTTGTCTGTACAAAAAGTGTTTGAAAAAGCACCAGATCATAGTTTCCTGATGATAAAATCTGTTCACACTTGTCATTCATTATTCATTCTCCATCTTGTGCTGTCCATCCGCTGACCATCCTGCGTTATCTGCATTGGAACATTGACAAACCAAAAGCACTCAATTACGGCGGTTGTCTCACTCCTTTTTCTCCACACACCTTTTTAAACCTCGTATTTCCCTCTTATCCGCTTTCTATAGGCCTCTCGACCTCTCAGTTTATATAGTTTTTATTACCCACTAGCTTCAAATTTTAACAATCGCTGCTAGGCAGTCAGTGTCATATAGGATTGTTGACTTGTTATGTCGCAGTTGTTATGTCGCAGAAAATTGAGAAAACTATGTGTGATATCTGACCACCGCCCCTTGTTGTAACCAAAAGTAGTGTGATGGTGGTGCGAGTGCGTGTGTGTGTGTGTGTGTGTGTGTGTGTGTGTGTGTGTGTGTGTGTGTGTGTGTGTGTGTGTGTGTGTGTGTGTGTGTGTGTGTGTGTGTGTGTGTGTGTGTGTGTGTGTGTGTGTGTGTGTGTGTGTGTGTGTGTGTGTGTGTGTGTGTGTGTGTGTGTGTGTGTGTGTGTGTGTGTGTGTGTGTGTGTGTGTGTGTGTTGCTTAGTCACCGTGTCACCGTACTGAACTTCACGAAGTTCTAGTCTGCTTGACAGTGTTCATGTTTCTGTGCAGTATTTAGCAGCACCTAACCAAACTGCATTCTTGATCCATTCCGATCATGATAAATGTGATCACATGTCACAGAGGACCTGTAAAACCAGGACTGACTATTAAAGCCGAGCTTAGCTCGCAACACATGTACAGTGCACGTGTACAAATTCATGTAATACTGCGCTCGTCTACCCAGTGCGTGAGGGAAGGGGTGCATTGTAGAGTTACCATGGAAACATTACCCGATCGGGTGCCCGTGGAAAACTACCCGAAGAAAATGCTACCCGACTCGGCCCTAATAACCTTCAAGACGGTGTGCCTAGCATACATGTCACGACAAGGTAGTGAGTACTCACTTGATTATTTTCTTGCGCAGCGGTGGCAAGTGTATTCTACCCGCTTGGTGGGACGCTGCGGCCGCTGTTCCCGGCTGTTGCTGCTGCCGTCGTCGCTTGGCCGTCGAGGTCATAACCTCCGCAGCTAGGACGTCATCCGACGGCTCCAGGGACACACGGTCTAGCTTGGCATGAAGGTCCTGGATCTGCTGTCGCAATGCCGCGAGCTCTTCGCGGATACTCGTCTCTTCAGTTGTGTCTTCCAGGCTTTCGGTTACGATGTCTTTTAGTTCGATGACTTCGTCCTACGCAACCATGCATTTACATCAATAGCAATGGCCGACAAATCAACAGCTAACTTCAGACACTTCCTGTATTGCAAGGTGCTGGGTAGGAGGTGGCGTGCGTGAAAACAACCCTGAAAGAAATTTCCGATGATTCCAATGCGTCTGTTGACATGTGTATCGTGTAATCATTAGCTAGGACATGTCAGTGCACTTGAAATTTCTGTTTTCATAGACAAACTCATTACATTTCCTGCACAACCGATGTGTGAAGTATGAAGTGAACTGTGATGTGCACCTGCTGCTCCCTGGCTCAGTGAACTGAGCAGTTGGAGGCGGCCACAAGCCGTGGGGGTTAAATAGATTTCTACCAGTTTGCCGCAGCTTCCACTGTATTACATACCAGTACAGGTGGCACTGATGGCTTTGATAGGAACCTGTTGATCTGCTTTACAGTGACAGTAGCATATGTACATGTGTTCAATGTACTAACAAAGTAACTAACAACAGCCCATGTACAGGGCCAGTAACAACAGCCCATGTACAGACAGGGCCAGTAACAACAGCCCATGTACAGGGCCAGTAACAACAGCCCGTGTACCGGGCCAGTAACAACAGTCCATGTACAGGGCCAGTAACAACTAACAATTATGTGTACCGGGTGAGTGGTACCAGGTGAAATTCAGCCGACCCAGGATCACAGCTTTGCAAGCTTCCAGGGGTTGGGTTTAATCTACCGCCAGTAAGTGCATGTGTGAGTGCTGCCAGGTGAAATCCAGCCACAGGATCACAGCTTTCCGGCAAGCTTCTCGGAGTTGGATTTTATCTAGCACCAGTAAACGTTGCTGCTGCTACGTGCTGCTCACTAGCAATACCTGTACCACAGTAAGTACATGTACGTGTACATGCACTGCCGCTACATGGTACAATGTACTCACATATGTTTGTCTAGCAATCTTGTTCAAGTCTTCTTGCTCCCCAGCATCATCGTCATAGTACAGACGCTGTACAGTGTAGAAGTGCATGACAGAATAGCACAAAACATTGCAATGAGAACAAGAGTCAATCAAGACCGGAGCAGACTAATAAATAAAGCATACCGGTACTACAACAAAACATTTATACTACTACCAAGAGTACATAACCCCCCAGAGTGTGCAACTCCCACATACCCTGCTGTCCCGACAGAATTTCAAGTTGACGTCATTATTTATGATGCAATGCTCCTTGCACCAGTGATTTACAACATGTGTACGGGTGTCAACGCATCACACGTTTTTCTTTCCAATAATTTGTACAGGATCGATCGGCTTCGGTCAACCACAGGTTCCGGATTCGTCTGATAATCCGTGTACAGTGCGCATTGCATCATCAAAATGACGTCAACTTGAAATTCTGTCGGGACAGCACCCATAGTGGAGTTGCACACTCTGGGGGGTTATGTACTCTTGCTACTACTACATGTACGTGTATGTTTCATTCATCAATTTTTCAAGGCAATAAAAAAAAGATGTGTCAGAAGTGGGATTCGAACCCACGCCCACATACGTGGACCAGAAGGCTCCAATCTGCATTGACTGCAGAAGGTCGACAGGACCTTGAGTCTGGCGCCTTAGACCGCTCGGCCATCCTGACAGGACAGGATAACACACTGGCGAGCAGCTAACCATGCACACACACTATGTTCTATCACTATCAGTGGCTGTATGAGGAATTATTATTATTATTATTAGGCCAAAACAAAAAATAGGCTTGTTTCCGGTCGGCAACCCCTCAAAAAGGAGACTCGGTCGGCCGGAATGAAACTTTTTTTGAATACTTTTTTTGGTTCCTCAATCGTTGTGGTATTGATGGACAAGAGCACCTTCACATGTACATTGTACATATATCATGGCAAGGATCAATATCAAAGTTGACTGACTCACTGTTCTTGTACAGCATGTGGTGTATTCCTGTTTTCGTACATCCTGAGAAATCAAGCAAACAGTTCGAGTCCTTCCAGCTCCGTTATTCTAGCTCGTATCGACCCCATAGGTTTTCGAGCCGACAGCTGAGAATCTCTGCTATCTTATAGGTGTTTCGATTGTGGAATTCGATTGAGATTTGACGGAGTTATGACTCGTTGAGTGCACTTGCACACATGGCATTGCCACCGTTTGTATACATTTGGGACCAAAAAAAGTTTCAGAATTTGGGGAAAAGTGGCCCGGTCGGGCGACCGGAAACAAGGTCATTATTTGTTTTGGCCTTATTATTATTATTATTGTGAGTTACGAAGTCTGAAGAAAATGTTGAACAGTCTCTGCTGGGATGACGACTACACCATAGCTCAGTGGTTAGAGCATCGCTAGCTACAAGCGAGGGTCCCTGGTTCGAGTCCTGGTGGTGACAGTCAATTTTTTCTTCAGACTTTTCCCGTTTGTCTCTTTCCTTCAAACTAGTGAAGATTATTATTATTATTATTATTATTTTCATTATATTATTTTCCCATTTGTCTCTTTCCCTCAAACCAGTTAATATTATTATTATTATTTCTTATTTTGTTAGGGATTTCCTAACAGGCAATGTTGCCTTTTTACTGGGAACCCTAAATGAGACTTTGTGTGAGCGCGAAACAACGCAGGCGACCCGGCCAGGCGACAAGATGGAGGCAGCGCATTCCACCTGTCGGCACCAAGATACGCAATGGAATGGAAACCATACCGGGAGTGGCAGGCAGGCAAGACAAGCGCAGCTGTAGCTTGGCCCCGGGTTGTGGCAGCAGTATGTGGGCCGGTGCCGCGGGGAGTGAATAGGAGGCCGAGAAGTGGGCTAGATAAACCAGGAAGAGCGAGAAAGAAAGAGAGAGAGGATATGACAGAGATCTCCTGTCATTTTTTTCTTCGTTCTTTTTGGTGCGTTCTATGTCCCCATGACGTTGAGACCTTGGGTCGGCTGAGGGCAAAAAGCCTCACCATCACTATGCTCCCACTATGCAATTTTTTGTCTTTGCCTGTGAGCTGTGATCATTGTAAAAAGGAAAATTTTAAAAAGAAAAAGAAAAAAGAGAAACTGTGAACGCTGCTGCGCAGAGTGACCTCATTGACTGGATATATACTTCAAGTACAATTTAACAGCACAAGCGTATGATACTCACTTCTGGTGAACATTTACTGGCTATGTGGTTTCGCAATTTATTGCGGTCCCCTTCCGACAGCTTTCTTTCCATTGATATTACCGTTGCTGCCTGTACACAGGGCAAGGAGATTGTAGTGGGCACCAAGACACAAACAATCCATTGACACATACTTGCATTGCTACGCACTATCTAATACAAGCAGATCAACTCGCAAAGCTACTCACTTGAAAGCAGTACTGAGCGGCTGCGTCTGATTATGGGTACCAAGTGGATGCTGCCAGCCACGTGATCATCGCAGTGTTGCACACGGTGTATCGCAGTGTTGCACACGGTGCATCGCAGTGTTGCACACGGTGTATCGCAGTGTTGCCCACGGTGCATCGCAGTGTTGCACACGGTGCATCGCAGTGTTGCACACGGTGTATCGCAGTGTTGCACACGGTGTATCGCAGTGTTGCACACGGTGTATGGCAGTGTTGCACACGGTGTATCGCAGTGTTGCACACGGTGTATCGCAGTGTTGCACACGGTGTATCGCAGTGTTGCACACGGTGCATCGCAGTGTTGCACACGGTGTATCGCAGTGTCGCACACGGTGTATCGCAGTGTTGCACACGGTGCAGCCTTGGATGAAAGGGGTTCTACAAAGCATTTCCTGTTCTTCGTTCATTGACTGAGGGCAAGATACTTCAGAAATGGTACCTCAAGAGTCAGAAAAGAAGGTTGTACGTGTGCAGAGTCACTAATGCAAGTACATGTACAATGGTACAAGTACTGGCAGCTAAATGTACCAGTTCATACATGTATAGAGTAGCGAATTAGTGTGCGCATGGATCCACCGCCATATTGGATATCATACTGGTTGCACCGTGCCGAGACAGCATGCTAGCTAGTGCAGTGTGTGATCATAGCATGCTAGCTAGTGCAGTGTGTGTGATCATAGCATGCTAGCGAATGCAGTGTGTGTGATCATAGCATGCTAGCGAATGCAGTGTGTGTGATCATAGCATGCTAGCGAATGCAGTGTGTGTGATCATAGCATGCTAGCGAATGCAGTGTGTGTGTGATCATAGCATGCTAGCGAATGCAGTGTGTGTGATCATAGCATGCTAGCGAGTGCAGTGTGTGTGCATGCCGTGCCGTGCACGATCATAGCATGGTGGGAGTGTAGTACATGGCTGGATGGTCTTACTCACCTGTTGCATAAGTGCATTCTGTGCAACATTGTCATGGACACTGAACAACAACAACAAGAGAGCAAATGTCTATACTGCGGCGTCTATCGAAATCCAGAGGTGAAAAGAGAGAGAGAGAGAGAGAGAGAGAGAGAGAGGGGGGGGGGAGAGAAAGAGAGAGAAAGAAAGAAAGAGAGACAGAGAGACAGACAGACAGACAGAAAGAAAGAGAGACAGACAGACAGACAGACAGACAAGACGGACAAGACGGAGAGACATATGCATGGAGGAGGAATAGGAGAGACAGGAGGGGAGGGAGTGGGGTGGAGAGAAAGTCGGCACACACATGTGTCACGTTTAGAAACCCACAACATGCACTCCTCTCTAGTGCCGTGGCTTACCGCTGAAAAGTGTCCGACATCAGTGCGATCAGCAGATTGAGTAGCACGAGTGACGTCAGGGCCAGGAAAGTGCCAACAAGAAGCCGAGCTACAACAGAATCGATCTTCACAATATTCTATAGTGCACAACAAGACATACAGACATGTACTCAGTACATTGTACTCCCACACCATTACCCGCATACATTACCCACACCATTACCCACACCATTACCCACACCATTACCCGCATACATTACCCACACCATTACCCACACCATTACCCGCATACATTACCCACATACACTGGAAGTATGGGTACATATATTTTAAACAGGACAGCATCATAGTTGCATGGCTGCAAGGACATAGTGTGATGAACAGCATTCTGAAGGCGCCGCCACATGGACGATTCGGCACAGCAACATCCACAGCGCGTCCTCCACCTTGGCACACAAGCGACCCTTTCACTACCACTAGTCAGCAGACAAGATGCCGATCTCTACCCAAGTGCTGTACTATCCACGGTACCAATCATATCAACGTGACTGTGATTGTGAAGAAACACACTAGCAACACACGGCGTGCTGATGAGAGCAGGACTCACGCTGACGAAGTATTCATTGCCAATGGATGCCATGAACAGCTGGAAGAGGAGCTCGGATTCGTCGGCAAAACCAGACACAGTTGTAGCGGCTGTCGTGTTGGTGGCGGCAACCGTCTCTACCGTCCTATTGCCAAAGAAAATCCAGAACCCGCAGGCTGGGTGGGACACAGGACAAGAATGAAAGTCTGGTCAACATGCAAGCTACATCATCAGTGAAGCTCCATGTATCTACCGGTATGTTCTACCGGTATGTTCTACCGGTATGTTCTACCGGTATGTTCTACCGGTATGTTCTACCGGTATGTTCTACCGGTATGTTCTACCGGTATGTTCTACCGGTATGTTCTACCGGTATGTTCTACCGGTATGTTCTACCGGTATGTTCTTGTTTACACAATGTCATACAAGTGTAAAAGTGATTCTCAAGGTGTGAGTCTCTGCAGCCGTCAGTCAAGTGACTAGTACAGGTCTACTCTCCATATAACGTAATCTCTGGGACCACGCGGAAATTATGTTATATCGAGAGTTATCTTATGTAGAAACCCGTGTGTAAAATACAATATGTACCTCAAAATGAAGGGTATTTCAAGGCGGGTTCACCCATGCAAACACTGTACCACCATCGACATCAGATACCATCAATGCTGCAGAATACTGTACTAGTATAATGCACAATAGGATTAAACCGGTAGGAAAGCAGTAAGCGACCACCGTGATCAATCAAGGTTTTAATAAGACACTACAAAAGAAAGAACATGGATGCAATCAACAGAATTATGTTCACAACAGAAGTAAAGGCAGCAAAGCAGTCAGCGGCCACATCTTAAAAAGACAACACGACACTACAGCCACGGTGCTGTCGTAACATGCACAGCGCACTGTACATAAAGCCACGAATGAAAACAGTTCTCAAGCAAGTTCCAAAAAACAAGAATTGCACAGCTTTCCATCTTCATCTTTACTCTGACACATATGGTGATAGTGGCGCGAACAATTGCGGCACTGACGCAGAATGAGTTGCTCACTCACAAGAGGGCAAGCAAAACAAGCAGATCTGGAACACCCGGAATCGGACCCGGACTCGCTACTGCTGCAGTTGTTGTCGCTGCTGCCGCTGCTGGTGCTGATTGCATCTGTCACTTGAATGGTTTCAACTCCACTGCCGTCAGCCATTGACTCAGTGCTGCTTCTGTTGCCAGCCTTGCTGCTGCTGCCGCTGCTGCTGGTTGCATCACTGACGATTTCAACCTCACTGTCCTCAACCATTGACTCAGTGCTGCTTCTGTTGCCAGCCTTGCTGCTGCTGCCGCTGCTGCTGCTGCCGCTGCTGCTGCTGGTTGCATCACTAACGATTTCAACCTCATTGTCCTCAGCCATTGACTCAGTGCTGCTGTCATGGTTGTGGTGGTGGGTGCTGCTGCTGGATGCAGCTTCAACAAACTGAGCTTGAACCTCAGCACGTTGCGGCTTGAAGAAGTCGGTGATGTTCTTCTGCTTCTTGGCAGTGGCTGCAGTCAGAAGGAAGTCATCAATGTTAGCCAGACTCTTTTGAATGGCAGGAGGAACCGATCGTGAATTCATGATGAAGGCTGTCAGAGTAGAGAGGCTACCATACGCTTCCGCGAAGGTTGGTGGTGGGACAGAAGGTAATTCCTCATCACTATCATCACTTTGTTCATTCTCTGCTGGCTTGGCTGCTACATCTGCCACAATGCTCTCCACAGTTACCTCCTCCTCCGTGGCAGCTTCATCGTCGGCACAGACGAAATCACTCACAGTGGTGGTGGTGTCGATCTGCAGCTTCTCCGTAGCGTCACTCCACAACGCAGACAGTTCGGATTCAGTGAGGTCCAACTCATCCTCCACTGGTCTAGCACCCTCAGCAATCTGTGGTTGAAAGCGTGCATGCCTCCAACAATTGCTGATCGTCTTTGCCGCAACAGCTTCCCACGACGCAGCTGTCAGCAGAGCAGCATCCTTCAGGTCGAAGAAGCCACCAGGGTTTGCCAAGTCCAGCTTATTCGAGTCGAATGCTGCAATCAGCTTCTGGATGACTCTGCGGCGATACTGGGCCTTGAAGCTGCGTATAATGCCCTGATCAAGTGGCTGAGTGACGCTTGTGGAGTTGGGTGGTAGGAATGCTACCTTCATGTTGGACAATGTCAAGTCCCGCACACCAGCAACATGAGCCGAGCAGTTGTCCATGAACATGATGATGTTGCGTTTCTGTCGAGCCATGTCTGCGTTGACGGAGAGCAGCCATTCTTTGAAGAGCTCGCCAGTCATCCAAGCGTTTCTGTTGGACTTATACGTAACAGGCAACGATTGGACATTCTTGAAGCAGCGAGGCTTAGCATAATGCCCGATCATGAGCGGAGTGAGCTTGTCACTGCCATCGAGATTACAGGCAAAGAGCAATGAAACCCGTTCCTTCTTCTTCTTACCTCCTCTACACTTCTCGCCACGAAACGCTAGCGTCTTGTGCGGTAGGAGTCGGTAGAAGAGTGCCGACTCATCGGCGTTGAAGACATCCTTCGGCGCATATCCCTCGAATAAGCCAGGAAGAACCTGGTCTTGCCAGTCGTGAATATCATCGGAACGAGCCGCGTGTTCACCTTCTCCAGCCTTCGTTCTTAGCGATAGCTGATGGCGCTTCTTGAACTTATCGCAGAATCCGCTGCTGGCGGAAAACTCTTCATCAGATATTCCGAAATGCTCGGCGAACTCTCTGGCTTTGGTTCGGATGGTGTCGTCGAAAACATCAACTCCGGCTGTCCTTGCCTTTACAACCCACTGGAACAGGGCGTCGTCCAGCTGAGGCCACTTGGAATGAGCAATCCGCTTCACCTTGCCGGAGCGTTGACCGGTTTCCCAACTTTTCCGACAAGAATCCTTGTTCTTCAAGATGGTGTAAATTGTGCTGGTAGGTTTTCCAGTCGCCCTCGAAATGTCACGGACTGACAACTTCCTTCTTTCATGATCATCGATAATTTTTATTTTCTCCTTCAAACTGATCGATACTCGTTGCTTCGACATGGCGGAACAGTTCACAACAAGCTTGCAATTGCAAGGAAAACAAATGAGTGACCGGCTCGCGCGCAGGCGCTAGCGCTTCTGTTGTTTTGTGGCTGCGCTTGTAGCTTTTTGTTGCACATGTGGCTGCGCGTGTAGCTCTTTGAGTCTTTGTCGTATGTGCTGTTGCGTTTGTGTCTCTGTGTCGTACATGCTGCTGCCCCGTGGTAAACGCTGTTGCGCTGTCTTTGAATGCTCTGTACATGCGACTGCACCGTCTTCTGTCCCCTCCGTATGCACTCTTTCTCGTCTTGTCCCCCTCGTACACGCATTTTCTCGTCTTGTCTCCGTTCGTCGGACCGGTTGCAGTCTTGTCTCCGTTCGTCGGACCGGTTGCCGTCTTGTCTCCGTCGTATTTGATCGTCTGCCGTCTTTGTCTCCCTTTTCGTTCTGGACTGGTTGTATCCCACACGGGCACCAATTTCGCGTCCACCGCCTCACTTTTCCTGACGTCTTCAAAATACGTTCCCTTGTCTTGTCTCGGTGTCAGTAGTCTCGTAGATCGTCGTCTCATGACAGCGCCAGAGGAGAAAAGTTCGTCCCAGTCGTAACAACACTAAAGTATCACGCATGTGAATCTACGTTATATCGAGAGTGGGCACATCTGGGACTGCGCTGCAGGTGCGTTATGTCGAGGTTTACGTTATGTAGAATTACGTTGTGCAGAACAAAATTTGTATGGGAGTGATGCTGTGTCGGCGGGGGATTAGATTTTTTTACGTACTAGCGAGGTTTACGTACAAGTGAGAGTTGTTATATCGAGAGTAGACCTGTAAATAGGTCATGTACACGTGTACAGCGTATTGTACTGAGTGTGGTACTGGGTTTCAATTACCATAGGGTATAAAGATGATGAGGTACAGAAACGAGAACTTCACCACGTCACGCATGATGCGAGTCACCATAACAACAAATGGGCCTGGGCAGGGAGATCACAGCACACACATACACACACACGTACACGCATACACACGTACACACACACACACACACATATGCACACACATATACACACACATACATCATTGGTAAATGGATATCATCTGGCAATACGATCAACTCTCATCAATACAGGAATCAATCGGTATCGCTGTCACTTTCAAACCCCCATTGACATGCAATGAGTTCCAGAACCTACCTAGTTTTCTGAAAGCACGTAGATACTTGAGTGTGCGTACCCAGAGCAACATTATCGTTGCTGTCATCAATCTGGAGAGAGGACATAGAGTAGGACAAGAATGATGGAAATCGGGTGGAACTTGTGACCCTCAGACCAACTGACCTGATGTAGGATTGATGCGCTGGTGGAGAACACAGATATTCTTTCACATGTCCAGAATTAGATACGTTTGCAATGAAGCACGGTACCTGTGTGTGTGTGTGTGTGTGTGTGTGTGTGTGTGTGTGTGTGTGTGTGTGTGTGTGTGTGTGTGTGTGTGTGTGTGTGTGTGTGTGTGTGTGTGTGTGTGTGTGTGTGTGTGTGTGTGTGTGTGCACATATGCACAGTTTTAAACCTGCAGAAGCGGACACCTCTCAAGACTGGACACCTCTCAAGACTGGACACCTCTCAAGACTGGACACCTCTCAAGACTGGACACCTCTCAAGACTGGACACCTCTCAAGACTGGACACCTCTCAAGACTGGGCACCCTATACGGGTATATAGGCAACAAGTTTATTCTCCTCCCTTTCCAAAATGTTCCTAATCAGGTTGTAATGACTTCTAAAGTCCTGACACATGACAATGACTCACAGCCTGATCCCCAAATATGGGATATGTCTGATCTACAGTGTGTCCGTATCCAAGAGGTTTTATTGTACTGCAAGTCGTGTTAAATGTCGCAGCACAGCTGCATGAGACTTACTACACGTGTCCTCTGCACAGACTTACAGCACAGACTTGCGATGTCCCATTTCACAAGCAATGGCACATTGTGCTGTGAAGCACTGTTACACACTGTTATAATTGAAGCTCGAAGCTCCGATATGCAATATAGGCTTGCAGGCTGAGTTGCAGCACAGACTCACTACACACACATGTACTTACGCTGCATGTACTCGGGCTATGGTGCGGGAATGTTGAGTGATGTCTACGACGCGCGAGATGACGGAGGCAAACATCAGGAAGTAGCAGAGCCAATCCAGTGCGTTCCTACGCGACACAGAACAGACGTTGTGTACACACTGACAGTTTATGCTCCTTGTCATGCTAATAGTGCAATTTTGAACTCTGCTTAACACGTGTCATCATTGCCCAGCCAGCAAGTCAACACGAGGCTTTGACGTACTCAGTTGTGTCCACAAGCAGAACATGACAATATTGGTATCTGCTGAAGATTGTGAATAATGTACACTGCCATCACCTTTCACCTACCACATATCTTCAAAGTATGCCGGGCTAGAATCGCTGACTTCCTTGATCTCTTGTTTGATATACTCTGCCTCCTGCACCATGGATCATCATCACACATACACACACAGACACAGATTTGTGATTGCACGCACATACACAATCGAACCAGCACGTCTGCATGCAGTAGATAGGAAGCGAACAGCACGTCCCCTGCACACCACCAATATCAGTGGTAGAACATAAGATATACCAGGATTCATAGGCAATACAGACATTTCGTAACTGTTTCCGCTCACGTCTGGATAGGCCGGATGACAGCTCGTCAGGTCCCGGTTTAGTGAAGACAGTCGCCATTCAGCCCATTGCTGTAAGATACCAACAACACAGCCAATACAATTATAACACAGACGGTAAAGTCAACGCAGACATGTACCGATGTTTTGGAATCACTCCGGCTGGCATGGTGCACAGAAAACTGGCCTCTCTAGGCAGGTGGTCTCCCTACAGAGGTCTACACTCTACACGTATATTAAAATCCTCAGACAACATAATTATTGAAACAAGGTCTGGGTCCGAGATGATCGGTCTCCAAAGACAGGTGGTCCCCTAAAGACAGGTGGTCCCCTAAAGACAGGTGGTCCCCTAAAGACAGGTGGTCCCCTAAACAGGTGGTCCCCTAAACAGGTGGTCCCCTAAACAGGTGGTCCCTTAAAGACAGGTGGTCCCTTAAAGACAGGTGGTCCCTTAAAGACAGGTGGTCCCTTAAAGACAGGTGGTCCCTTAAAGACAGGTGGTCCCTTAAAGACAGGTGGTCCCTTAAAGACAGGTGGTCCCTTAAAGACAGGTGGTCCCTTAAAGACAGGTGGTCCCTTAAAGACAGGTGGTCCCTTAAAGACAGGTGGTCCCTTAAAGACAGGTGGTCCCTTAAAGACAGGTGGTCCCTTAACCCTTTCAGCCCTGACTGGAAAATCACCTCCCACTGGGCCAAAAATGGCAATTTTTGAGAATGCATATTCTGGTCCAAAATTGATTGGAGATGTTGGGTATGGACATATGCACTGTGAATCCGAAGAAATTTTGCAGGATTTCATTGTACGAGACTCATAACACCATATTTAGATATGCGACTTTTGGCGATTTTTCCTCAAAATTCATTCAATTTAGGCAATTGACGACAAAGATCAGACAAGCAATGGCAAGCAGTGCTATAACTGGTCAGTGTTGACTTCAGAATGGAGAAATGTCATATAACATGCTCCTGGTGTTCTACGGCAACCTAGACTAGAGTACAGCGACTCGTTTTATACGGCGCTTGCATCATATGCGACTGCGCGATCCAGAATGGGTCTTTCTTTTTCTTGGGCGCCTCGTAAAGTTTGAATCCTCCAGCAGCCCTACCTACTTCAAGACAAAACCATATGATGGACAGTGAGGATGCCGAGTGACTGGAGTAGCAACCATAGCAACTGCATCAGCTATAATAGCAGCCGGTGCAGTGGCAGCGGTTGACTCACTGTGCTCGGCGCATCCCAGGGTGATTCATCTCTGGCCGCACGCGTACGTACGTACGTACGTACGTACACAGCGCAGGTAAAGTCATATTGATGGAGAATGCAATACTGCTCATTCTCTGATTTAGACACTCATTGGCAAGACAATCCAGCTATGAAAATAGTTTGAAGCATTTCCTAAACAGCCGAGTGCATACTGCGCACCGGTGTACGTACGCATGAAAATTCAAGAAACAATCGGCTGCGCAATTTCTGATAGTGGTTCAAAATTGCACAATTGTTGACTATTCTGGATTATTCTGGATTCATATTAGATAACAATCTCCATCCTGTAGGTGCCTGGCTCTGTACTCAACATACAATACTTACATGTATGCACATCTCTATTGTGATCTGCATGCATGTCTGACCAGTACACTTGACTTCAAATTCAAATATTTTCAAAAATCTGACCTTCAAATTTGATCGCAGTTTACTTGAGGAACTTCAGCAAACGGGCTCACGACAGACAGCTCCTACTCAGAACACCATGCCTAGGTGTCAGAGACTTCAGCATCGCTTTCCAAATCTCTTTGGTCTCCAGCATCCCCTGCGTCCGAGTCAGCTGCGATCTTTTGAATAGCTGAGCAAATTCGTAATCCTCAGAAAACGACTCCGACACAATTTCGCTGTCTCCAGAATCATTCTCAGAGTCATTACCCGCCTCACACTGCTTCACAGGACTCCTTCCATCGTCACAGAGTAGTTGAGCTACTTACCTTGCCGAGAAACAGCAGGGCAAGATGACGAAAACGAACTTTCAGCAAAACAATTTATTTGAACGATATGCCAAAATGCGCACTTCAAACTCAATGCTCGCGGCTGTTCTGCTGTGCAGACTGGCCACATACGCTGCGTACACGTCGATCAGGTCCTTCAGCCCACTGAGGAACAGTTCCAGGCCCCACTGATGTTGAGGCATCAGTACAAACGCGACGTAGACTCTCTACACTGAGGACGTATATATACGTCGTCAGTGGGGCAGGTGCACACGTCATGACGTATATATACGTCGACAGTGGTGAAAGGGTTAAAGACAGGTGGTCCCTTAAAGACAGGTGGTCTTATACATGTACAGTCAGACCTCGCATATCCCATCCTCTTTTATCAAGAAAAGCGCTGGAAACCGAACATTCGGACCAGCACAGCCAGGTTGTACTATAACATTATGCCTTGAATGATTTTCGGTAGAACTGAAAAGGCACTATAGCTACTGAGCTGTACTGTTACAACATGCAATTTCCTGGATGTGACAAAGGGGATTTCTGGCAGCAGATCGTGTGAATGCAGGCCATAGTGTTCTTAAAAGGTAGTAGAAATCGCACCTCCGAGTATTGTCTCACTATAATCCACAATATGTTGTGCAAAACAAAGTGGACGCCAGAAACTAGCACCGCTTGTTGATGGGAATCACCTCTTATCAGCCCAGTCTCCACAGAGTGCACATCATGAAGTCCCTGCTAAGGACAGCATGGGTCTCACACAGTGCGATGTCCAAAAGTGCATGCATGATAGCACCTGGTGAACATGGCAACTGGATAGACTGATTGGCGTGTTGTTTTTTTGACAACTGGATAGGTTGGTAGGTTACTGCCACGCTCTGGAAACAGGGGAGAGTTGGAATTATGTTGTGAGGAGATACACACCTAGCCGGCACAACACTAGTATACACCACCAGGCCGTGTGACCCTTACCTCGTGCTGTTTCAGGGACTTGATGTACTCCACCACTTCACTGGCACAGTCATAGAGCAGGAACAGTACTGCTGCCACCTGTGCACACAGTGGCATGTACACAGTGGCATGTACACAGTGATATGCACACAGTACACGAGCACGTTATCAAAGTCGTGCAGCGCAGTCCTTGTTGAACTGCTCCGGCCAAGAAAAGACGGTGAAGAAAACACAGTGCAGGGTATGGAAACTTCTCGCATCCCCTGAGCCTGCCCTCTTTGTTACTGAAACTTGTCTGGTTGACTAACAAGTTGCTGTGCAGCCAGAGCCTGATATGACCAGCCAGACCAGCTGCTACTCCCATGCCAACTCAATTGCAAAGAGAGTGTTATTGCATAGAGAGACAGACAGACAGACAGACAGACACACACACACACACACACACACACACACACACACACACACACACACACACACACACACACACACACACACACACACAGAACGCATGGGTTAGTACAGCATGGGTCCACTTGCGCAACTCCACAAGTTACAATGTTTCAGTCTGCTTGACCGCATTGTCATACACTCAATCGCAGCATGCAAGGCCACATCACAATGATCTTGATGCTGCTCTCACCTCGAATGCTATCCTCCAGCGGTGGGAGGGGGGATACAGGTATCGTGTTTCCCAGTCATATGCCACAGAGACCACTGTCCACACCTGTACAGCAGAGTAGAGCAGTCAACCTGCTGATCTCCCATTCCATGTCACCATGGCCATACAGTCATGTGCACGCCATGTACTAGTATACTGTATACTGGTGCATATGAGCATGCCTTTGCTTCATATACTGTACACACACACACCTGTCCTGTAGAGCCACTACCACTAGGGTCACGTGGGCCCGGAGGGGCAGCAGAGAGAGAGAAAGAGCACACACACACACACACAGACACACACACACACACACACACACACACACACACACACATGTAACACACGCACACACACACACACACACACACGCACACACACACCACATACATACACACACACGTACACGCACACACACCACATACATACACACACACTCACACACACACGCACGCACACGTACCCCCCCCCCCCCACACACACACCCACACTCACACCCACCCACCACACCCACCCACACCCACCCACACAGTCACACACACAGTGATCTAGTGTACGAGTACTGTTTCAGAGGATCAGCAACATGAGCTGCTGAATGCAGATGCCAAGTTTGAGCGAGAGCATAGTATTCTCCGCTGAATCATGGTTTATGCATGCAACCAGAGACTTATCACTCCAAGGCTAGAGTAAAGTATGCTGTCAACCAAACAGCAAAGTACTAACTTAGTAATGGAGATGAGCCTACGAGGAAAGAAACAATTTTGTTTCCATCGGTCCTCCATCTTACCAACACTGACAACATGTAGACAAACGTTTGAAGGAGCGCTCCACGCTTGCCAAACTGATTCCACTTCAGCTTGAGAGAGCGAAGCACAACAGGGCTTGTCAGGAGGCTGTAATGTCGGCATTGCACGATGACTTCCAGCTGTACATGTACATTTGAAACAAGCGGCAAGAAACTTAAATAACTAGTAAACTGTCCATTGTGTGAAACAGCATTCCTGGTCAGAAAATGAATCTAGGAGTGCTGGAGTGCCTTTGTCTCATTTATTTATATTTTTACATTGTATTGTGTTCTGTAGGCTTCAACAAAATGTGCAACATCTATAAATTAATAGATGTTGCACACACACTCTATGATCCCCTCTTTCTCAAACTCTCTCACCTACCCTGTAGCATTGATTTCACCTCGTGGCATGGTGAAAGAGAGAGCAACTGTGAAATCTTTGAAGAGAGTCACCAGTCAGCCATGCAAATCTGAGCAGGAAGCAAACTGTGAAGTGTCCGGCACGCCGCATGCGCCTTCTGTGTTTAACTTATTTTTGCGCGCTCGCAAAAATTCATGAAATGCAAAGCCGTTGCCGCACAGACATACCGGTGTCAGCGCTCTGCCCTGTGGCCCATCGTTCTCAGTGATGCCATCGGCCTGCTCACCACTTGATACTGTAGCATACACAGACACGACACAACGTCAAGAGAACACACTATAGTGACTATACGCATGATACGTATACTAGTAGGTAATATGACTAGGTGGCAGAGCATATAAACCCGGAATTCAAGGGCATTATACTTGAGTCAGTCATAGATAATTGGAAACAATGGAAAGGTATTAAAACATTCACCTTACCACTACTAACAAGTAACAACTGAGACGATCATATACAAGCAGAAACAGTGATCCGCTGTTGGATAACGAATACAGTCAGACCTTGCATACCCGCACACATCACGGTTTTCCACAAAAAAATACCCGGATAGGCGAGGGAACTGGATAATCAAACACACATACTGTATGTATGCATGGCATATGCTGTAAATCGGTAACCAATGATTTTCTTTCGGATGGCGAGGGATACAGATAAAAGAGGACCGGATAAGCGAGGTCTGACTATACACCGTGGCTTGGTGGTAGAGCACCGCTGGCCTTAAAAGCGAGGGTCCCTGGTTATAGTCCTGGTGGTGACAGTAAAGATTTTCTTCAGACTTTTCCTGTTTGCATCTCCCTCAAACTAATGAGTCAGGGGTGGGTCCAAAGGGAGGGGGGGGGAGGAGGTTCTGGAGTTCCGCGGAACCCCCTGAATTTCCCAAAAGTACTACTGGAAACCATATGCATGTACGTGTATCAGCCATTCAGTTTTGGCTAAACTGGACCCCCCCCCCCCCACCCTCTGGATATGCCCCTGTATGTGATCAGCTGAATCCCAGTCACCAGTGTTCAGTCCTTAAAGTGCCCAATGTCTTACCTGGTGTTTGTTCGATGTAGTTGATCCAGAAGAGCTGTGCTCGCTGACTAGCGGATGTGGAATGCAGTTGCTCAAGCGCCTTCGACGCCTGAAGGAACACAACATGTTTTGAATCGGATATTATTATTATACTTGAAGTAAGCACTATCGCGATGTAAGCGGGGATGCCTACTTCACTTGTGCCATTCAGGATTATGATAAAGAGAAAAACAGAAAGCTCAGAATCTTGAGGAACAATGCTGTAAAGCAGAATAGCTGCTTTGAATCGGATAGCAGGTGAAAAGCACTGCAGCCTGCCATCCCACATAAGACACTGGTGTTGTGTGAAGCTGAACGTATGCATAACGCCTCCTCCAATAGTAGTAAGTATGAAAGGGAAAGGAGAGCGCCGGGAGGGGGGGGGGGGGGGGGGACCCGGTTTTGGCACAAAATCTTGTTAGCTCCATATCATTAACTTTTTGCTTCGTCAATACGGAAATAGGCAGGGCTTGTTTAAAGTTGTTTTGCAAAGACAAACAGCTCTACAGAACAACTGACCTACGATATGTACCGTTAAAAAACCCCGGACAGTATCTGCCAGTCTAATATATCTTTAAAAAAAGGCCTATGAGGCTACATGTGTTGAGGGGCCACTCACCTAAGTGCTCATGCAAGCTTTACTACTAAAGGCATAACGGAAAGAGCAGATTGTTGGGAGTCATGATCGCTAAGCTGCCGAGCTGATCGGTGTCATCCCCGCTAAGCCAATAAGGAAAAACTGTGATCATTTCAGGACCACCGCATGCCATACTTGAACATACATCCAGACCTCTGTTCAGAGACCACCAATATAGAGAGACCCCCTGTGAATAAAGACCACCTGTGAATAAAGACCACTTTCCTTCAAAGACCAGCATTCTGTGCACTATGACGCAGGTGTTAAGCAGCATAGGTTTCAGTGCACTGACTTCTCATACACATAACAGTTAGTATTACTAACGTCCAAACGTACCACTTCCGGCATTTTGACAATCATGGAAGTCAAGGCTTTCTGTCCGTCTGAGCTCTCCACACCGGCAAACGCCGGCTGATCCAGCGACAGCAGGTACTGAGCAGCATCTGAACGGTCTATGGTAACAGAACAGTTTGATAGTAACAACATATGCATGAGCCGTGTGTGTGTGTGTGTGTGTGTGTGTGTGTGTGTGTGTGTGTATGTATGTATGTGTGTGTTACAATGCGTGTGCAGTCGCATGCAGCGGCACAATGTGTAAGCCATGACCATAAGCAGAAATAGAGCCTACAATCTACTCATGATGGGGCAGGGGTCATACATTCCAGTGATTCATACTTGAAGATCTAATTAAATCCATTGGCACATCGCGAAA